GACCCCCCCCCCCCACCCTGAAGATTCTCTGTGGGTGGTCCCTTTCACTCTCAGTTGGGAATGACTGCAGACCTCCAAAGTCTGGCACTCTGGCACTCTTGGAGGCTCTGAGTTCTCCTCCCCGCCATCCTTAGGGTTTTTGGCCCACTGGGCATCCTGAAATCCCCTCAGGCTCCGATGCCCTTGGTAAGGAAGCCTCTGAACCTTGAATCCAGGGACAACTAAAATCAAATGTGAATGTAGGATAGAGCTGATGCACCATTGCCTGAACTAGAAATGCCATGAGGGCTGAGAGTTACTGCTATTTTTAGTTGGAATAATATGGGTCCAAAGCACTTCCACTCCAATCAGGAATCCAGCTTATTTCTTTTCAAAAATTTCCTCCCGTCAACCATGGAAAGAGAACAACAGAATGCTCTTTGGAATTCCCCATCACCCCTCTCCCAAGGAGAGAAAGACCATAGTCAAGTTTTCTGCTGGGGTTGGGGCCCTTTAAAAATTGTGTTAGAAAACACAGGTAAAATGTTGGCACACGTGAAATAATAGTGTTCCTCCGACCTGAGTTCACAACTACAATTATTTCATGAATTCTCTTAATTTGATAGTTGCTGGTGGTGTTAGGTGGGGAAAGTGGAGTTTTGCAGTGAGATATTTTTTTGGGGGTTGGAGTCTCACTCTGTCACCCAGACTCTGGCCACTGCAGCCTTGACCTGCTGGGCTCTGGCGATCCTTCTGCCTCAGCCTTCCAAGTAGCTGGAACTACAGGCGCGTGCTACCACACCAGCTAATTTTTGATTTATTGTAGAGATGAGGTCTCACCAAGTTGCCCGGGCAGGTCTCGAACCCGCGGGCTCAGGCAATCCACTCACCTCAGTTTCCCAAAGCGCTGGGATTACAGGCTGAGCCACTGAGCCCGGCCTGCAGTGAGATTTAGTTGTGTAGGTCTGATCATCAAACATGTCTTTAGGACATGCATCTTCAACACAAGTTCTCTTCTCCTCATCCTTCTCATGGCTCTTCGTTTGTTTCCCTCCACTCTCCAGTGTCCCAGATACCCTGTTCTCCTGTAGAATCCCTGTGCATGGACTGCCAAGCTTCCTCCTTTCTTCCCTGCCTGTCTCTCTCTCCTCTCTGTAGTCGTCCAGGATTCTTGAACCAATTGAAATACAGCATTGTGTTAGTACAGTGTATCCCCTGCCTTTAATCTACCTTTTCTTTGATGATTTTCAGCATGGCTTGGTTTTGTATCTTTACTGCTTTTTTATTGCAAAAGTAATACAGTCCCATTGCATAAAATATTTAAAATAGCATAGCAGTCTTCAAAGATAAAATGAAATTTTCCTGAATTCAGTCACTCAAAGATAACTACCATTAATTGCTTGGCCTCAAAGTCTTTTCTATGCTTAAACAAATACTGAAAAAGACTCATAGCCGGGCTGTAATCCCGCGCCTTTGGGAGGCTGAGGTGAGTGGATGGCCTGAGCCCGCGGGTTCGGGACCCGCCTGGGCAGCGAGACCTCATCTCTACAATAAATACAAAAAATCAGCCGGGCGTGGTAGCGCATGCCTGTAATTCCGGCTACTTGGAAGGCTGAGGCAGAAGGATCGCCGGAGCCCAGCAGGTCGAGGCTGCGGTGACTGGGAGCGGCCACTGCACTCCAGTCTGGGTGACAGAGTGAGACTTCAACTCAAAAAAAAAAAAGAAAAAGACTCACACATGTGAAGTGTGACACACATGCAAAAACACGCACATAACATAAATATTCCATTTAATGGATTGCTTAAAAGCAAATGCCTGGGTTTAAACAAAACCCTAGGTCAGTAACAGAATCTTGAGAGATTTTCCAAAGTGATCCTTCTTCCTATACTGTGTGCTATGCCCCTTCCAAATCCAACTCTGTTTTTCTCCCCAAAAAGTAACCACAGCCCTGACTTTCATTATAATCATTTTCCTGCATTTCTTTATGCACCCCTAAGCACAGTAGCTTACCTTTACCTAGTTTTTATTTTTTTTAAACTTCTTGTAAGTGGCACCCTGTATCTGTCTTCTTTTGCTCCCTGTCATGTTTTGGTGGTTCATTCACAGTGTTGCAGTTATCTGTGATTCCGTGGTATATGTGTGAATATGCCATGATTTCCCTACCCAGTCTACTGGTGATGAAAATAGCCAATGTACTAGTTTAAATATTAATGGCATCAGTATCTTCATATATTTATTGGCTATTATCAGATTATCTCCAGGCTTCAGCATGCACAAAGCTTCTATAAACATTTTCGTTTCTCCTAATACACATATGGTATATATACTTAGGAAAGGAGTTAGAGGTTGTCAGTCCACTGAGGTTGAAACTGCCAGTTTTCTAAAATGATCATACCAATGTAACTTCCAATGCCAGTATCTCCTGTTGGTCTAAATCTTTGCTAAGGCTTAGTATCTTCAGTCTTGTTAAATTGTAGCTCTTTTGGTGGTTGTGTAGTGGAATACCTATGTGTGGCTTTAATCTGCACTACTTTAAATATTAATGATATTCAGTATCTTCATATGTTTATTGGCTATTTGAATAGTCTCTTTTTGGGAAATCCCTATCCAAGCCACTGTCTAATTTGTCTTCTGGGCTATCTGTCCTATTGATTTATAGATGTTCTTGCACCTTCTGATATAGTGTCTTTATTAGTCATTTTTGTTGCCAATATTCTGAGGCTAACCTATTCACTCTCACTTGGTGACTAGAAGTTCTTAATTTATATCTAGTCAGATATATCAGTTTTTCCCTTTGTTTGTAATACTGCTTGGACTCCTATTTTTTATAGACTTTCTCTATTCTAAATGCACGAAGATACTCTCCTATATTCTGAAAGCCTTTTTCGGTTTATTTCATAGTCTACATGGAATTTATTTTTATTATGAGGTGAGGCTGGGATCAATTTTCTTTCCATTTCTTTTCTTCTTTTTTTAGTATGAATACCCAGTTGTCTTGGCAGCATTTGTTGAAAAGACCATTCTTCCTATAATGTTCTATGGAACCACTTTCCTTATAAATCAAGTTTTTTAACCTCTCTTTGGGATACATGTGCATGTATAAAATAAAAGTGGCATGGGCGTAGCATAATTTTTTTTTTTTTTTGAGTCAGAGTCTTACTCTGTTGCTCAGGCTAGAATGCAGTGGCACAATCACGGCTCACCGCAGTCTCGGCCTCCTGGACTCAGGAGATCCTTCCTCCTAAGCCTCCCAAGTAGCTGGGACTACAGGCGCTCACCACCATGCCCAGCTGCTGTTTAAATTTTTTTTTGTAGAGACAAGGTCTCGCTATGTTGCCCAGGCTGGTTTCAACTCCTGAGCTCAAGCAATCCTCCTGCCTTGGCCTCCCAGAGTACTGGGATTATAGGCATGAATCACTGTACCTGGTCCATGATTTGTTTTTTTATTCTTTGATTGACAAGCATTTAGATCGTTTCCATTTTTTAATGCTATGAGTAATAATAAACATTTTACATGTATTTGATGGCATATATCTTTTATCGTTATATAGCACTTTTGTGGGACAAATTATTTAGTTCCATAGAATAATTAAACAGCAATGGCCATCACTATATATTTACTGATACTTCTGCAAGAATTTCTACAGTTTCATAGAAATTAATTGTTTCTACAGTAAACCAAACTTCTTTAAGGCTCTCTCATGCAAAGACTAAAGAAGGAGAATATAAAAAGCATGTCCTAAATATTACAAGTTGCCTGCAAATTACTTGGCTTTGAGAGACTACGTTATCTACAGTACTAACATTTACTGAGACACTCTTAGCGGGTTTGTGCTGCGTGACTCAAAGCTCAGGCCTTGGGCAAGCAGCATCATGGCAATACCTGGAGCATGCTGTGACTGCAAAATCTTATGCCCTGTACCAACCTAGTGGGTCAGAATCTGCATTTAATAAGATCCCTTCTATGCATATTAAATTGGAGAAGCAATGTTTTAGTACATGTTATGAAGCAATGTGCAAGCGAATACCTCTTTTTTTCCTAATAAGAACATATTCTATGGTATCATGTGAATTTCCATTATCTTTGTGATATGTGTAAAGGCCATAAATATACTTAATTGGGGTTGCATTGGACGAGGGCAAAGGTCAAGTGATTTCTTCAGGGTCACAACATTCCCAAGCTTGGCGATATTGCCACGATACATGTGGCTTCATAACTCTAGTAATATTCTCTCTCGAGAGAAACAGCCAGAAGCTGTACAACCAATTCCAGTTACCCAAATGGAGCTTTGGGAAAGTATGACTAGCCTAATTTTTTTTTTTTTTTTTTGAGAAAGCAGGATTTATTGAGAGGATAGAAAAGCTCCCAAAGCCAGAGGGGACCCAAGGGAGTTGCCCAAATAGCCTAGATTTAAGCCTGACCCATTTTTTTTCATAGCAGTTGACATGAATTCAAAAATGTTGGCTGAAATTGAATTTCTTTCTTTTTAAAAACATCCCCCTTCTGTACTCAAAGGTAGTAAAATTACCCAAAGTAGGGAGCCAAAAAAAAAAAAAAAAGATAAACACAGACAATCCACAGCATGTACTGAATCTGAATTGTTGGAAATTGGTTTCTGATATACGTGCCAAATCTCCATTCCTGCTTCCATGGAGTTATCTGTGAATTTTATTGGGCGCCAGGTCTGTGGATACTCCTAGGCAAGACAATCTAGTGTGTAAGTGCTTTGTCTCACTCAAGACAGCTCGACTCGACTACAGGCTGGAGGAAGTCACAGGTGGCCAGAAAGGAGCTTTTGGCGTGAACTGATATTCTCATTCACGTTTACATCGAGCAAAGCCGAGGCTGCTTCGTTGCTGTTCATCTTCGGTATGCCCTGGGTGGCAATCAGGGGGCCCTAGGGTCTCACCCACACGCCGCCCAGGGAGTATGCAGTAAGGGTAGGCAGCATAGGCAGTAACAAAGAGCTCTAGAACCGGGAGCAAATCTTTGTTTTTTTTTTCTCCTTTGCATTCCCAGTTGCCAGGATCTTCAGATGGAAATTTCCATTCTCCAGGAGCAGATCTCTCACCTGCAGTTTGTGATTCACTCCCAGCATCAGAACCTGCGCAGTGTCATTCAGGAGGTCAGAGTAATCCCATGTATTTCTCTGGTAGATGTTATGAGGTTACCATGGGAAGCCCAAACACAAGTGGCTCGTCCGAACTCTGGATGCAGTGAGGCTTTTCTCCCCGCTGACATGTCCTGTCTGTTTCTTCTGCAACATGATTCTGTTTTCAGTACCCTCTTTTGTCTGTAACGCTAACACTCCTAATGTTTTCAATGAAGACAATTTGGGAAGCTGTGTTTAGCTGATTTTTTTTTTTTTTAGATATTTCAGTGATCTTTTAAAAAGTGTTCTGAGCCAGATAATGTATGCTGTTTTGCAGAAGATTTTGTAGATCAGGAGAGCCAACCCTTCCTTGAGAGCACAGTGATCTGTTTTCATAACCACATAGATAGTAAATGTATTTAGGAGGTGCTTTAAGGTAGGGGTGTAGTTCAGCCTGGCCCTTCTCTGGGAAGGGTTCATCTGTTTTCATAACCTCATAGATAGTAAATGTATTTAGGAGGTGTTTTAAGGTAGGGGTATAGTTCAGCCTGGCCCTTCTCTGGCAGGAGACTAAGTAGAGGTGATTGTGGTTGCAGCCAGCTAGATGGTAGACTGGATGAGTGTTTAAGATCTACTTCAGGCCGGGCATGGTGGCTCATGCTTATTATCACAGCACTTTGGGAGGCCGAGGTGAGAAGATTGTCCGAGCCCATGGGTTTGAGACAAGCCTGGGCAACTTGGTGAGACCTCATCTCTATGAAAAATCAAGAAAAATTAGCCGGGCATGATGGCGCATACCTGTAGTTCCAGCTACTCGGAAGGCTGAGGTTGAAGGATCGCCTGAGCCCAGGAGGTCGAGGCTGCAGTAGCTGTGAGCATGCCGCTGCACTCCAGCCTGGGTGACAGTGAGACTCCAACTCAAAAAAAAAAAAGAGATCTACTTCAATATATGTATTAATCTGGTTTTGGGGGTGTGCTTTCAACTTACAACCAGACCTTTATTCAAGTTTTTTTGCTGCCTATTATTTGTTACCAACAGGAATCCTCCTGAAAACCCAGGGCCTTCCTGTCATAGATGTGGCCTTTGCGCTTGCTTGGCTGTGGCCTCATCAAAAGACCAGAGAATTGAGTAGCATGAGTAGTGAAATGGGAGAGCCAGGAAGGACCTCGCTGGCATCCCACAGTCTCGTTTTACAGCAGGGTTCAGTGACGGAGCTGGTGGTGGCAGAGTTGGTCTGAGAATCCATGTGTCCCCTCTTCCTGTGCTGTCTTGCAACTCACCACCCCACCTCCCAGTTCCACGTCGCCTCTTGGCAAAACAAACTCACGTGTTATGCCTCTGGTTGATAAAGTCTCTACCACAGGGAGCCTCTGCCCCCTGGGCAGTGACCTTGAGGCGTGTCCGTCTATAGGATGAGAATGCTTGGTTGCTGAGAAGCAGAAGGGTGGCCAGTGCTGCTTTCCGTGGGAGGCATGCCTGCTGAACTTGGCTGAATCTGTTTGACACAGATTAAAGTGTCAGACAGCACCCTGGAGGGCTTGTATCCCCAAGTGCTGATCTGGCTTGCTGTTTTCTCTAGCTGCTGGGTCGGCTAATGCATTTTGTGGTTTTGGGTTTTTTTTTTAAGTTTAATGAACATCATTTGACATTAGAAATCTGTACAATTTGACTTAAGTAACTATTCCCCGTGGTCTGATAAGACTTTTCCAATGGTGTTTTCTAATTCTTAGATGGAAGGATTAAAAAATAATTTAAAAGAACAAGACAAAAGAATTGAAAATCTCAAAGAAAAAGTTAACGTACTTGAAGCCCAGGTAAGGAGGGAACCTGTTTTACATTTGTGTGTGTGTGTGTGTGTGTGTGTGTGTGTGTGTGTGTGTGTGTGTGAGAGAGAGAGAGAGAGAGAGAGAGAGAAAGAGAGAGATCAAGTGTGTTCGTGAAATTATGTATGAACATGTGTGATCGTGTGCCTGTGTGTCACTGTGAGTATATCTGTGTATGAATGTGCATGTGAGTGTGCCTGTGTGTGATTATGTGTGACTGTGTCTGTCTCACTGTATATGTATGTGTATCCAGGTGTCTTTTTGAGAGTATGTGTATATGCATCATCTGTGCATTAAAAAATTACAGCTATGAAAGGAAGTACTTACGATGATTGCTAAATTATAATTTAAAATGCTTTATTATATTATTCAATTAAAATATTATCAACATTAAACATTAAATAAATATTCTTAAGTAATTGTTAAAATTCATTCAACTTTTTCAGTGGAGAGATAGATGATAACCTCTGTAAATATGGACTTGAATTAGAAGCTTGGTCAAGGTCACTGCTGTGGAAATTCCACTCTAGCCAGATGGACAGGCTTCCTATCTCCTGCCTTTGTTCCCACACATGCTTTTCTCTCTGGGATGTCCTGTTTCCTCTTCTTTCTCCCTCCACGTGCCTCTTGACTTCCAAGCTTGGCCTTTGGGCTCGCCTAGTTTCAGGAACCTGTTGTAATCGCCTTGCTTCTGGGTGCTTTAAAACTCAGCACAATACTTTCAAATTTACTAGATAAGACAGGCTTTCCCTTCTGCCCCTCACCCCCTGTGCCTGGGACATAACTGTGTGTGCATGTACCAGATTTAGAATATATATGGCATCGCATTATACTTCTGCCCCTCACCCCCCTTTCCTCGGGACCCTTCATGCTGGCTTTCAGCGGACATCCCTGCCTCAAAGGAAGGGCAGCAAAGCCCCTGCTGAAGTTGGAGGAACCCTGAGGACCCAGCGGCTCTCCACCTTAGCTGCCCAATTCTCAGCGTGACCCGATGATTCCCTGCCTTGTTCCTGTGTCTTACCTTACGTCCGTGTCAGATGACGTGTCACCGACTGCCTGGACCTGATCACCTTTTCTGCTCTCTATCTCTCAGTCTTTTGACTTCCTCCTTTTGGTTACCTGCAGAGATTGCTGTTGTCCTGTCCTATGGAATACAGAGATGCTCTGCCTTTCACTAGTGCCTTCGTCTTTGGGATTTTTCTCGTCCTCAAGAGAGACCAGAGAGGAGCTGCGTGATTGTCCCCCCAGCCATGGCACGCTGTTCCTTCCACCGCCATGTTCTTTCTGCTTCCCCCAAACAAGTTAAGAACATAACAGCATGAAGAGACGGTGGATGATTTTACATCTTCGTTTCTGCAATCGCATGTTCCATTTCTGCCTTCCCAGAGGACTGTGTCCTCTTGGATCCTGGAGCACAGAGCTCAGGGAACCTTGGGCCCCCTTAGGCACTCACCGTCTTCAGGTTGTATGGAGCTGTTTGATAGCACTGCTCACAGCTCTGCACAGCTGAAAAGGCAGTGAGTGTGGAATAATTGGCTCAAAGCTAGAGTTCACTCAAGCGTCTAGCAGTGGCTGGCCAGTTTATGTCAGGGGGCCTCCAGCTTATGTGATTCATGCCACATCAGGGCCTCTTCCTCCTAAGAAATGTTCTTGAAAGGCATTTCTTCATAGTCTTTCTTACTTAGTGGCTGTTTGGTAAATGTACTTGTTCTTATATATAAATATAGATTTCTTATATTTTTACACAACTAACATGTATTTGTTCATTCCATATAAGTTAGGACATGTGGATAAGCAAATAGAATAAGAAAACCAATTATAAATACACCATCCAGGGCTATGATCTCGGCATGGTTGTGTATGTCTGTAGTTTTGTGGGAATCTACGTGCCTGGGACATAACTGTGTGTGCATGTACCAGATTTAGAATATATATGGCATCGCATTATACTAACCGTATTGTAATTTACCTTTTTTATTTTTTTTTTTTGAGTTGGAGTCTCACTCTGTCACCCAGACTGGAGGGCAGTGGCCGCTCCCGGCCACCGCAGCCTCGACCTGCTGGGCTCCGGCGATCCTTCCACCTCAGCCTTCCAAGTAGCTGGAACTACAGGCGCGTGCTACCACGCCCGGCTGATTTTTTATTTGTTGTAGAGATAAGGTCACGCCAAGTTGCCCAGGCAGGTCTCGAACCCACGGGCTCAGGCAATCCACTCACCTCAGCCTCCCAAAGGCGCGGGATTACAGGCTGAGCCACCGAGCCCGGCTATTTACTTTTATTTTTATTTTTTGAGTTGGAGTCTCACTGTATCATCCAGGCTGGAGTGCGGTGGCGTGCTTGGGCCACCGCAGCCTCAACCTGCTGGGCTCAGGCGATCCTTCCACCTCAGCCTTCCAAGTAGCTGGAACTACAGGCACGCGCACACCCAGGAGTGCCCCAGTGTCTGTTGTTCCCATCCTCATGCCTATGTGCAGACAATGTTTAACTCCTACTTATCAAGTATTCACTTTTCTGTTTCTGTGATAATTTGTTCAGGATGATGGCCTCTATCTGCACCCATGTTGCAGCAAAGGATGTGATTTTGTTCTTTTTTATGACTGCATTGTACTCCCTGGAAACGCATCAGCTTTCTAAACCATACAGACATCATCTCTTTCTCATTCACACACCATGGTCTCTTTTTGTGCAATTTATTTTGTTGAATCCTCAAAGCTACTCTGGGAGAAAGTTGTTATTTCCTACATTTTGCAAAACTCAGAAGTAAAGAAACGTATTCAAAATCGCTTAGCTAGCAGGGTGCAGAATCTACATTTGAGTCTTCTTGGCTTTGAAGGCTGTTACCCCTCCACACATCGATATCTCTTATCTAGGTGATCAGATAAGAGTGTGTGTGTGTATAATATATATTTTAAAATGCAGAGTTATAACATTAAATTTGCATCATCATTTATATTTAGTGTGGTTATTGTCACAGTTACTATATTAAATATTTTCTGTTTTGCTTTTAAGTCTTGAAACAAGTATTTTTTTCTGTGGTGTTCTTTCTTTCCTAGCAGTTATTGTCCTCTTCCCAAGGAGAATAAGACTGACTCCTATGACTCTTAACTGCTTTTTAAACCCTTAATTATTTTAAACCTCTTTTAAAATATTACCAGAACATTTCTGCTTAACTCTACCAAAATTCTTTCCTTTCTATGTTTGTGTATCTTTCACCATTTTAATTTACAACTCTGACATTCATCTTATAGTTCATGCATTTCTAGCTCCTTCACTAATGACATGCTCATATGAAAATGCGTCTTCAGAAGTTACTCCATTTTCTTGTCTTTGAAGATTATCCTAATTCATATAATCAGCGTCATCCTTAACATTGAATTCTTAGCATGTACTGCCAAAATGCTAAGTATGCAAAATTATGTTTTTTTGGGAAAATTGTCAATAAGCTATCTTTGGACAGAGTCATAATAATGGCAGACATATTCTGGCCGGTGATTTGAAGTTTTGTAAACTAGTGATGTAATAAAACTCATGCATGTACTATCCTAGTTAAAGAAAACAACCAGAAAAGCCCATGAATCAAGAGTAAATACTGAATCTGATAGATGAAACACATCAGCCTGGAAGTTAAAATAAATTAAAGACAGTCTAACATCATGACTCTGAGGCTCTTGTTTCGTTTGGTACTCAACAACTTGAGAAATCAGAAATTTTTTTCTGGAAAATATCCTAATAGCATCTACATAATTGTCCAGTCATAGAATACTTTTATTCCAGTGGTGGCTGTTATCGAGACAGTGTGTTTCAAATGGCTTCATCACTTGTAAAGATTGCACAGAGGGGCTTTTTTCTAGGCACATGCTTGGCCTGTGACATGTGCCTGCATTTGTTTGGAGTGGATATTAGATCTTTATTATATGAGGAACATCTTTACCTTCAGCTTATCAAATCTGAAGTACTTTTCCCAGGTGAAACTTCAGCATTTGACTCTTGAAACCTCACAGTGAAATGACTAATGTGTCTGAAGATGTTGGCTTCATCTTTTAGTTATTATTCGAGATAAATGCTGGTAGCTAAGAAGGAGCAAGAAAAACCAGTGGCCGACTCCAAACCAACAGGCGGAATCTTAGAAGATGCCTTTTAAGCTTTAATTACGTTACGGTCAAAGCCCTTATTCCTAGAAAGGGAACAGAGTGGTGTGTTGCTGTTCACCACCTGTTGTAAGAATACCCAGCTACCTTTTTGGTCCCAGACCCTTTTATATGGGTATATCCTCTAAAGACCTCTGGCTTGGGTTTGAAGACTTCTAGTCTGCCCGTGCAGCCAACTGGCAACTCAATCTTGGTCACAATCCTTCACTGTTTTAAGTCTCACTTTCCAGGTCTATGAAGCCAGTTGCACTTGTCTGTGTTATAGAGCAAGCACTGACTCTGACCAGGAAGACACATGTGGCGCTGAGCTCAGTCATGAACAGGATGCTGGGCACTTGAAGTGTTTGAACCTCCACTTTTAGTTATGAAAATGGTCATTGGACTAGAAAATTATAACCAACTGCCTATTAAATCTTAAAATCTTGCTAGGCACTGAGCTGAGTACTTTACTTGTTTTTATTTCCTTTCAAGCCCATGAAAAAGGGGCTATTATATGTATTATTCAGATGAGAAAATTTGGCAAAGAGAGGGTAAATAACCTAAATGAGGTCATGTAGCTAAGATTTGTATCTAAGATTTGTATCTAAGAACTTACACTCTAACCCTTCTTTGTCTTAGCTGTTGTTTTGTCTCCCAGAATTTTGAGGAGGCTTCCAGATTTAAAGTATTGTGATCATATATTTGTTTCTTCCAACAACTTAGACATGATAGGCAGGGCATATGTCATTTACCACTAGTATGGAAACAAAGAAACAAGGTTTCAGCCAGAAAATCTAGGCTAAAGAGGCCCTGAACTGTAAAGAACAGATGGGGCCTGTTTTCATGGTGTTTATAATCAAGAGATTACAAAAGAAAGACAGACATGTGATCAATTTTGTGGGTATCTTTAACAAGGCTCTTTAGCAAAGTTCTTGCATAAAATTCCTTTCATCTGTCCATCATCTGTAAAATCAAACATAGTTACTTCAGCTGTTGAATTTCAGATGCTAAATCAAAATACTGTATTTTAAGCCCTTGGGAAATTATGCATTTTCAGGGTATATTTGTATACTCAGAGATAATATCTAAGCGACTTTTAATTGACTGTTTTTTGTGTTCTTATAGGATAACTGAAACAACAAACTTACTGCCAAGCTGTGATGAGGCAGTCGGTGGGTTGAACAGAAGCATAGGAGGTGTCTAATGGATGTGCTATCTGACCTCTGAACTTTTTTGAATTTTAGAATAAAGAGCTAAAAATGAAGGTGGCACTTCGCTCTGAAGCTCCCGCGACAATGGTATCCAGGGCTGTCTCCACAAGGTAAGGTCTCTCTCCCCGCCAGCCCCATCGTCACAACTGCTGTTGAATGTGTTTGACATTCAGTCCATTGAGAAGAATCTCATTCTGTTAATACTTCTGTAATCATTTGTGTCTGTCTCCCTATTGAGAACTGTGTTCATCTGATTCATCACTGAATCCTTGAAGTCTAACATAAAAATACTAAATATGCGAGTGAGTCAATTTAGATATCCTTTTCCTCCATTTTGCCCTAAAACAAGCAAAAAAGATCTCAACTACAACAACCTCAACTTCAACACTTTCTTCAAATATTATGAATAATCTCCTCTATTGTTCTTCTTCCTTTGTTGCTCCTATTTTTAATGCCATTGATGGATAGTTTAACTATGAATGTTAGTATTTATTGAATCACTTTATCGTCATCTCTCAAATCTAGTAGATTGTAAATATCACAGGACAAGAATCGTTCTTTATATATCTTTTTATTTCCTGCATTGCTAAGAACAAGTATCTTTAATGACTGCCTAATAATGAGTGATTTCAAGCAATGATAATGACCCACTAAAGCAATGAAAATGATAGTTGAAGGCATCTGAGTCATTTTGTTTAAGGCTAAAGAGTTTTTTCTGTTGTTGGCAGAATCTGAATCTGAATCTGGGCTCAAATCTCATTTCCATAAACCCTATGAAATTGTCACTTAAACGAACACATAGACTATAATTACATGTATCATTTAAAAAGTGATTAAAGACTTCCTGTTCTAGCAGCATTTGCGTTTCCCATTCTAGTCCCTCTAGGGCAGAATCTCATTTTCTGAAACTCTCTTCAGCACAGTGCCCGAGGTGGAAAATCAGACCCGCTATGATTAGCATCCGTCTAGGATTTCAGGCACATTTCTCTCTCTCTTTAAAACTCCCTGAAACAGTGTTTCACTTTGCTAATGATGTATGTAATTAGAGACTGGAGATGAAACCATTATGAATCAAATCCTCTAAAATCTTTGGGTCTCCAGATGCTAAATTATCAACTTTTTGGTCACTAGCTCTGCGACTTCTAAAAAAAAATAAATAAAAAAAATCAGCCGGGTGTGGCAGCGCGTGCCTGTAATTCCGGCTACTCAGAAGGCTGAGGCGGAAGGATCGCCGGAGCCCAGCAGGCGAGGCTGCGGTGGCCGGGAACAGCCACGGCACTCCAGTCTGGGTGACAGTGAGACTCCAACTCAAAAAAAAAAAAAAAAAAAAAATATATATATATATATATATATATATATATAAATATATTTCTCATATTCAAAGAAGATATAGTTTGAATCTCTACATCTTTAAGTCCAATCATATACTATTTATACACATATTCAATTTAGATAAGTTGTCTACTAGAGTAATTCTAGCCATGTGGCCAACCTGTATCTTCATAAGGCAGCTCACAGTCCCTCCTAAATCTACCTTGATGAAGTAGACTTTCAGGGAGAGGAACATAAAAATCTCTACTTTGGTCCCTTTGTCAGTCAGTCCTAAGTAGTAACTTTTTGCTCATCAGGGAAATAATCAATGAATTCTTTGCTCTGTATTTGTAGACCTTCCCTTCCTCTCCCTTCTCACTTGCTGAAGTAGTGAGATTCATTCAGAGGTAATTGCAGTGGTCCAGCTTTTAAAGACTGTTCTTCCTCTGACTTGGCAAAGGTCAAATGGGGGACATTTCTTAGTTGAATATCCCCTTCATTGTGTAATTTTTGATAGAAACTTCCATGTTAATGATAGAAAGGTAGGTCTCCCACTTGCAAAGTGAAATATGGGCCATTGACTGCTGTAAGAATGAAAATGGCTGATTGGTTTATATATCTGACTCCACCAATATACAATGGAATTATAACTCTAGGGAGAGATTTGAGTATAAAGGTAGCTGTTAAGGCCAAAATAAGAATCATATAAACATGAAATGTAATCTTGGCAAACTCCTTAAATCACCCATGAAATATCGTTTTTTGATATGTCTCAGGAAGCATAAACAAACAAGGTTTATTTTTGTGAGCACTAGAGCATGTTGATCAGGAGTGTCCAGACTCTTGGCTTCCCCGGGCTGCGTCACGTAAAGAGGAATTGTCTTGGGCTGCACATAAAATATATAATATAGTTAGTGCTTATATATAACAAAACTTTAAAAAAAACCTATTTATTATAAAGTTTAGAAAAACGAGGAGAACAGTATGAAACTAGAGAGAAATTTGATCTTGTTTTTGTAAAACTAATCTACCAATGTCTGGTTCAGCAGAAGTGATCACAAGTCTTAGTGAGTTCTCAAGGTACTCATCAAAAATGTTTGTTCAAGTTTTGTTCTTCTTGTGCTTCGTAATTGAAACAGCTGTTCACGAATGTATGTGTTGCCAAAGAACAATGTCATGAGCGAGGCTTGAATGTGAACTTCAAAAATGGAACCATGCAGGGGTCATGAAGTGAAGAAACATTAAAAAACACATGTTTTTAAAAGATTTTGTGGGGCGATGGGTTGGACATGCCTGATGTAAATGTTTCTTGAGTTGAACATCATAAGTTATTTGCTTGAGATAGGCGCCATGTTGTTAAAAAATAATAAAACATACACACACACACACACACACACACACACACACACACACACACACACATATATGTCTATACACATGAATAGTTTTGCATACTACAGAATCTCATAGTGAGGAAAGAAGTTTAACCATGAGAAACCCACAGATCTAAAACAGCCAAGGGGTTGTAGGAAGATTTTGAATTCATGTTTGCTCATCTCTAATTCACTAATTCACTTTGGGGAAAGCCTTTGCTACGTAGAGTGGCAGACAGAGGTTCTGAAACTCTCTGGCTTCCTCACTCTTGGCCTGTTACGTTTAGCTGAACTTGCATACAATAAATGCTTTCACAATGTGATTCTACTGTGTCTCGTGGGGAATTGTTCAGAACAGATCAATTAGATGCCATCTTAGAACAAAGCAATTCGTTTAGATTTATTCGTATTGTGGTGGTAGATATGCTGGTCCAGCCATGAGCATTCGATTTGACATGCCCCATTTTGATAATTGTGTCGTCTTTTCTGCAGTGAATTGAAGACTGAAGGCATCTCACCCTATCTGATGTTAATTAGGCTACGGAAATGAATGGGCTGGATGAAGATCTGATTGAGAAGGACTATGGTGTTTAATTATTCCTTGAAGCACCACCCAGATTCCTTGTTAAAATAACAGATAACACATTGCCAGTATTTAAGTGGAATTTATTGTACCTAAGTAGTTTTGCAGGAAGATGACACTCCAGAAAATCATGCAAATATACCTATAAGGGAAAGACTGCAAACTTACCAAATAAGGTGAAGAAGTCAGGTGTTTGCCCATGATGGAAGACAGATTCTGCTTACAAAAATGAATCCTGTTTTCAGAGTTTTGCTAAGGGGACTGTTTTAAGGTGGTCAATTCTGATCTTTTGATAGTGTTTTAAAAATGTATAAATAGAAAGATGAGTGTTTGTATGTATGCATAAGCAACATATTTTAGTGGACCTTTGGATGATAAGAAAGACCTTACGTAAGTTCATCTCCTGATCCATTGTTCATTGGAGACTTATTCTTTGCTGAATTCGGAGCAGGATTCTTTGCTGAATTCTTTGCTGAATTTTTAGCTAATTCGTCAACCCAAACTGCCTTCCAAAGTTGAGAATCATGGCTGCCTTACCTACCCTAAAGTCACTGTTCTTCAGTAATTCTGGGATTAAAATCAGATTCCTAGAGGAACCAACATACACGTGTAAGCAACAGGGCAGTGCACCCTGCCTTTGTGACTGATTTTCTTCTTAATGTTTATTAATAGTATCTAAGTAAAAGAAAAGCGGGAGGGGGCGGATAGACCATAATGCTCTTAGCCCATACCTTTGTGGAAATGTGCATATTACAAATTCAAAGAAACAATGACTACTATCTGTAGGAAGATTTTGAATTCATGAATTGGAATGATATGTCTAGTGTTTTTGTGAAAGTTTGCTTAAATTTTGATACATGCCTTTATTACAGGAGTTTGTGATTGCTATAAGTAAAACCAACTCTGACTTGAAGCAACACAAACATACTGACACTCAGGAAAGCAGACTCACTGCAATCAAATGAACAATGAGAGACCTTAGTCACCCTAAGGGGTGAATTCCCTTTAGTCTTTCAACCTTTCCCTTTGGTGTATAGCTTGAAATATTTGCTCAGGAGAGATGTTTCAGACCTTTCAGTGTGGAATGTGAAATATCAGTGTTGTCTATAAAGTTTTTGAAGGAAGGTAAAAATGAGATGAAGCAATATATTTAAAATTCATCCAAGTACTGTAATCCTTGAAATGTTGTATAATTGTATGTGAGTTTTATATTCCATAGCATCACTGGAAACATTCTTCTTGCTTGCAAATTTTGAAGGTGTAGTTATCTGTTAATATTTAGGCCACAGTTACTCTATGCCAGGAAGAGACACAGTTCTAAGTACTTTATTAATTCCTTTTATCTTCTCCAAAACCCTCAGAAGCAGGTCATATTATCATTTATGTTTTACAGAGGAAGATACTGAGGGTGGTTAAGTAACTTGCCCAACTGCCAACTGTGGAGCAAAGACTGGCACCTTTTAACTTAGCTATTGATATTCACTCTGCTTGCTCCCTTGGTGGTCTGAGCTATTTCTCTGCTATAGAAATCCCTCTTTTTGCCACTTTAGTAAACACACAGCTTAGTGGATGCTGTCTGCATTATCCCGTGAATGACAACCAGAAATACTGAAAAAAGCAGTATTTTGCTGAAATGAGTTGACCTTTCACCTGTTGGATTACCATCCTAAGAACTGAGTTCAGACAAACTTCCCTGCCAAAAATCTGCTTATTTTATGTTTATTACTCATGACTTGACATCACATTCAAGAATTTCCTTGTAATACGTTTGCAGGCACCCTTGTAGGGACACTGGGATCGTGAATGGTGCTTCAAGCTTTTATAGTGTAGTGAGAATCGCCTTTCATTGGGAGACCATTTATGTTCCTCTTACACCTCTCTCATCATGCTGCCTTGTAATTCATTTGAGATTTAGGAACAAGCCTATCTAGCTGACCTAACAACCTTGATGATTTCTGTTAGAATAATTTATTCTAAAGTCAAAAATGGAAAGACGCTGTTGGATTTTATTTTGGTTTGAGCAACAACAGACATTACAGATGAGATCCGCTCAGGAGGTCTCCAGCCTACTTCAGAGTGGTCTTGGACTTCTTAGATTAACAATAAGCATTTTCAGAGGTTCCAAAAGATCTGAACCTGTGAATACAGATATATCTTTATACTACCATCAGCCATATCATTTATTTGTCATATGCGAATTATTTCCTGTATCCTGATTGTTTCAGCTACTTTCATAGGAAAAGTTTTTTAAGTCAACATTTCTGAGTGACAAAACAAAAGCTTTCAATGGGAAATGATTTTTATTAGTCTAAAAGTGGTATATACAGGAAATATAGGAAAATAAACACTAGTTCAATTATATTCTAAATAACTGTACTTCTATGATACTAATCAATGTATTGAAAAATAAGATCCGAGGTGGGCCTTAAATTCATACATGAAGTCAGCAAATGAGAAGGAACTTTGTTCCACTTTGATTACATATATCGTTACAATCGACCACTAAAAAGCATTTAGACCAAACAATTGGTATAGTGTATATTTTGAATAATTACTTATAATATCCCTTAAAATAAAGAAAATGGATGTAGTATTGTGTGCATTTTTTTGTTTTTATTTCTTTTTACATTAAAATTATGCTTCAATGAATTAAGTCGTTTTTATTTGATTGCTCCTAACAATAAAATCCACAATAAATAGATTGTTTTGCTCAATGAATGTTTAAATAGCTTTCTGAATTTTTTGCTACTTTTCTCTGGATCCAAATTAACAGTAAAATATATATATGAGTGCGTGTATTCAGTTTTATTCTAGATTTGAGGAAAAAAATGGATTATAAAATGCTTCAATTCTTTCATATTCCTCCACTTTGAAAATTTTTTCTTCTCCTTGACCTAGAAACAAATACAGAATCCTCATCAATATCCAAGTTGTTGTCCTATCCACCCAGAACTGAAATGTTCCCCAATTAATATTGTAATCTTTATCATTCCTTCCCTTCCTTTCTTCTCTTATTTTTTGGTGGAAAATATTAAGGATGCAATAAAGATTTAAATAATTGCATTTAGTGGATTTTAATTTTTCATTACAGTATACGCGTATGATGGCACCTTTGCATTTGAGAAAACAGCAGAAGCAGGAAAGTCACTCTTACCTTCCTCCCTTCTTCCTTGAAGTAGCCCATAAAACCAAGCAAGGAATGTTTTTTTTTTACCTTTCCCTATAAGATGCCTATTCCAGATGTGTCCTCCTAGAGGAAAGGAATATCCTCCTCGTGACACAGGGACATCGAGAAGAATTTGGACAACCAGGCCTTGCTAATTTCTTCCTAGTTTTATTACCACGAACACTTATCCCTTTGGCTCGTCTTTATTCTTCACAACGATCCACATCTTCATCAAATCCGGCATAAAAAATACACAACTTTACTTATTTCTTCCGTCTTAACTTCCGTATGAAGGCTCCTGTGTTACATAAAACTTACTTTAAATAAATGTGTCCCCTTTTTTCTTGTTAATCTGTCTTTTGTTATAGGGTCCTCAGCCATGAAACTAAGATGGGAAGGAAAGATATTTCTTTTTCCCTACACAAAGAAGTGTTTAAAGTTATGGTAGAATTACTGAAAATTGGAATTTATCCTAGGCATGTAAGGTTGGTTTATTATTAGAAAATCAATATAATTCACTATCAACACATAATAAAGGAGAATTATCATTTTAATAAATGAAGAAGAGTATTTGACAGAATTCAACACCCATTCATGATTAAAAACTCTAAGGAAACTAGGAATCATTGGAAATTCATCATTCTGATAAACAGCATGTGTAAAAACCTTCAGTTAATATTATTTTATTTATTTATTTTTTTTGAGTTGGAGTCTCACTCTGTCGCCCAGACTGGAGTGCAGTGGCCGCTCCCGGCCACCGCAGCCTCGACCTGCTGGGCTCCGGCGATCCTTCCGCCTCAGCCTTCCGAGTAGCCGGAATTACAGGCACGCGCTATCATGCCCAGCTGATTTTTTGATTTATTGTAGAGATGAGGTCTTGCTGCCCAGGTGGGTCTCGAACCCGCGGGCTCAGGCATCCACTCACCTCAGCCTCCCAAAGGCGCGGGATTACAGGCTGAGCCACCGAGCCCGGCTGCCAGTTAATATTAATGGTGGAAGACATACTTTTTCCCATAAATATTGGGAAAAGGCAAAGATGCGTTATTTCGCCATGTGTCTTAAACAGTGTGCTGTAGGGCCTAGCCTGGAATGCGGTAAGAAAAAGAAAGAAAAATAGCCATACAGATTGTAAAGGAAAAAGTAAAACTGTTCAATTTTTTGCATATAGTCATTGATACAGAGAATGCTAACGAATCTATGTAACTACTAGACATTGTATGAGGGGGAACCCCCCAAAAAATTTATTTGTAAAAACTTGTGTATTTATTCTCATATGTTTAAACTTAAGTTACCTCAGCATTTGGTGCAGTACACCTACTGAGATGCTTTTTCTACTGCTCAAAGCCTTTTAGTGCTTCTGCAATTTTTGTTGCACCTTTTCCACATCTGCAAAACCACAGGACTTTTAACATCTGAGGAAACAAAAAAAGTCGTTTAGGGTGAGATCGGGTGAATAGGGTGGGTGGGACACTGAGGACATGCCATTTTTGGTAAAAAACAAAAAACCCCAAAACTGCTGAACACTCAACATGATGTGGGCAAGTAGGTTGTCATGGTGGAAAAACCAATCACCTGTTTGCCGCAACTAAGATTTTTCTTCTGAAAATTCTGAGGCAATCTTCCTAAAACTTCCAGATTAAAAACTTTGGTTGACTGTTTTATTCAGAGGAACAAATTCTGAGTGTACTACAAGAGGCCTGCCCTCCCAAAAATAATTTCATTTTTTTTTGGGTCCCCTCGTATACTTGAAATTTGCTGAGAGTAGTTCTGAATGTTTTCATGACACACATCTATACATCCATGCTGTAACTTCATGAAATGATAGATATGTTTATGGTCTTGATTATGATAACTATTTCACAATGTTTTATATGTCAAAATGTTACATACCTTTAATATATGCAATTTCAATTGATCACTTACACCTCAAAGTTGGGGAAAAAACCATTAGAATAAGTGAAGTTAACAAGAACACAGATTACAAACTTAACATACAAAAATCAACATATTAGCAGTTACTGAGAAAATAGACAAATATATCAATGTGCAGAAAGGTAATCCATAGTCTCATGTCTGTGATTGATTGATCTTGACAAAGGTGTCAAGGCTATCCAATGGGGGAAGGAGCTTCTTCTCAATGGTATTAGAAATCTGCATGGGAGAAAAAAATAAACATTTATTAAACTCATACCATATACGGTAATTACCCTGAAATGGACAACCCTCCTAAATGTAAAGCTAAAACTGGAAACATTCCAGGAGGAAATCTAGTAGATTGTCTTTGCAATAATATGGCAGGGAGGATTTTACAATAGCACACAAAGAGCACAAACCATAGAAGAAAAAAATTACAAATTGGATATCATTAAAATTCATATCTTTTGCCATTTTAAGGACACTATTAAACAAGAAAGGAAGCCCCCAAACTGGAGCCAATATAAAATATATGAAGACTTTTAACACATAAGAATCCAGAATATATGCATCCAGAATATATAGACTTTTAAAACATAATAAGAAGGCAATACAATAAAAATGGGCATAAATGATTGGACAGTCACTTTACAAAACAAGATATACAAATGACAAATACACACTTGAAAATATGCTTATTACATCAACTGCCAGGGAAATGCACAATAAAACTACTGAGATACCATCAATCACTCATTAGAACAACTAAAACGAAAAAGACTGGTAATTCCTGAGGCTTTGGAACAACTGGGCTTGTCATACACCACTGCAAAGTGGAACGACCACTTGGAAAATAAGCTGACTCTTAAAAAATTAAACATACCCTTCCCATTTGATCTAGCCCTTCAAATCCTTATTATTTTCTACCCAAGAGAAACAAAAGCTTCTGTTCACAGAAAGATTCGTACATGAACTTTCACAGCACATTGATTGGTGAGAGCTAAAAGCCAAAAACCAATGTCCATTGACAGATAAATAAATAGATAAACAGATTAAAAGGACCAAACCACAAACAAACTATATAGGACAGATAAATCTCACATCATTATGCTAAGTGAAACATGCCAGAGGGTAAAAAAAACACAAACTATATGATATCATAGTGATGGAGCAAATCAGCCCAGCTGATCCTTAAACAACACGCGAGTGAACTGCTCACTGCTTGGGTCAACTTTTTTTGGATTTGCCGCTCCTGAGACAGCAAGACCAACTCTTTTCCTCTTCTTCCCTTCCTCCTCTTCTGCCTACTCAACACGAAGACAGTAAGGAGGAAGACCTTCATGGTGATTCATTTCCACTTAGTGAATAGTTCATCTATTTTCTCTTCCTTATGATTTTCTCAATAACATTTTCTCTAGCTTACTTTACTGTATAAACACAGTATGTACTGCATGTAACATACGAACCGTGTGTGAATTAATTGTTTCTGTTATCTGTAAGTCTCCAGTCAACAGTAGGCTACTGGTTTTGAAGTTTGGGGGAAATCAACAGTTACATGTGGGTTTTCCACTGCTCAGGGGTCAGCTCCCCAACCCCCCACGTGGTTCAAGGGTCAACTTTATTTGTCTGTGGGTGGGAGTAGAGGGAGGGAGAGATGGCAAAGGGAAACTTTGGAGGTCATAGACACTTTCAGTGTCTTGGTAGTTGTGGTGTTTCCACGGGCGTGCTCCATGATAAGAACCATTAAATTGTACAATTCAGCCGGGCTCGGTGGCTCAGCCTGTCATCCCACGCCTTTGGGAGGCTGAGGTGAGTGGATTGCCTGGGCAGCGAGATCTCATCTCTACAATAAATGAAAAAATCAGCCGGGTGTGGTAGCGCAGGCCTGTAATTCCGGCTACTCTGAAGGCTGAGGCGGAAGGATCGCCAGAGCCCAGCAGGTCGAGGCTGCGGTGGCCGGGAGCGGCCACTGCACTCCAGTCTGGGCGACAGAGTGAGACTCCGACTCAAAAAAAAAAAAAAATTGTACAATTCAAATATGTGAATGTATTGTGCACAATATTTACTCTAATAAAGCAGGAAAAATAGCTAGCACTGTGTTATTGCTATAGTCCTCCCAAATCAGTTTCTCGGGTGGAAGTCACTCATTTCGTCTTTCAGCAAATATTTGCTGAGTGCTTCCTATTTGCCAGACATGATTCTAGAAGCTGGAGCCAGAGCCGTGGGGAGTGGGAGGGGCAGAGGCAGGGGTAAGGAAGAAAGAAAAAGGAAAGTCTCTGCCTTCATGGAACCATATTCTAGTGACCGGGAACAGACAATAAAGTCAGAGATGTCTGAGGTACCAGATGAAAACAAAATAGGACACAGGGATCGGAAGTTTCTAGAGATGACAGGGTGTGATTGCAATTTAAAATGGGGTGACCATTTAACAAAGGTTAACTAGAGACTGTCATTTAAATAGGATGGTGATGTTAAAGAAGACCTCTGGCTTTGAAGGTAACAGTCAAGCAAGACTGGAAGAAGGCGGAAAAAGATGGAAGGAGAGGTTATCTGGGAAAGGGCAGGCCAGGCAGAAGCCATGGGCCAGGACTGGTGTGTCCATGTCGCGGCTGCTGGCGTGGGGAGAGGCTAGTATGCCCCAGGATCGTCTGAATCCTTTCTCATGCGGTATGCTCTTTCACATTTCCTTGGTGCAAATCATTCCTTAAAATGGATTGATACATTTTCCTTCCAATTCTTTGACTTCTGAGCAGTGGCTAGCCAACCATTTTTAGGAATCTGTATCTCAGTCCCCTGCTTGGTCTAGTTTCCCTAATGTACTGAGAAAGCTCGTGTTCTCTGGAAGGGCAGTGAAAGGACACTGCGATGATATGGTTAAGGAGGCTTGTTTTGACCCACCCTCTTGGCCTGGAGGCTTCATAAGAAACTGCTCTTGGAACTCAGGGGAGGAGAAAGGGCCCGCTGTTACTCAGAGTGGGAGCAGGCCTGGCCTTAAGGACTCGTAACCCGATGTACTTGCCAGGAGGACACCGCATCCACACTGCTCCTTCTGGTTCACCTTCTCAGAAGAGGGCCCGAGCCGTGGTGTAAATTCCTCTGGAGAATCCAACAGATTGAAGTCTTCCATAATCTTGCTGCTGCTTTTTTTGTTTGTTTAACCATTTGGTAGAGGAGAGCCTTCTGTCTTGTCCTTAGAGACCTATGGAAATGCTGCAAAACCATGATAACTGCAAAAAATCTAATTACTATCACAGAATGCTTCTAGTACCTGTAATATAGCTTTAGTTAAATTTTAATTAGTGTGCTGTCTTCCTAAGCCATAATGCAAGTCACCTGAATGAGTTTCTAACAGAACAACAATACCCACACTCTTATTATAGCTATTCTTTTTTCACAAGTAGCAATCCATATTTGAAATGAAATTCTCCTTGATATGGAGAACTGTGAATAATACAACCTACCTTATGTACAGACTTTAAAAAAGAGATTCTATTATTACAAACAGTGATTGTCAGGATGCTCTTTTTTTCCCCCTCAATATAGGGCATGCTGTGACTCTTTAGAAATTCCATAAAACTGTTAAGGAAAGCATGTCTCTAAGGACTTATCGTGTTTTATTTCAGATGAGCCCTGTGGGCAGAAGATTCTCTCTGCATGAGACAGCGTTACTGTCTACTGGGGAGTCAAGTTGAGAGGATGGTGCCAAGGATTTATTTGCCTGCAGTGGGAGAGCTGTTTATCTTTAAATTAAAAACTCATCATTATCTTGGCAAAGGCTGTCTAAGTAACATATGGAGGGAGATCCACTCTGGGAACATGTCAGCCTTTGCAAATGAACATTGTAAAGGAAGCTGCATGATTACAGTCTTGAATTGGCCTTGAACACCAGTCTTTCACCGTCCTGTGACTTAGGGAGATACCACCAACTGTTCAACATTTTGTTATGGAGAAGAAATAGGTTATAATACATGAGAGTGCTGTGTACCATAGACTATTTCAGCAGGCTAACCGCTCAGCTTAATGCGTATCATTCAGAAGTATTAGAAAATTTCACTTGCAAAGCCCAGTCTTCAAATAGTTCATGAAAATTTTAGAGAGAGAAACAAAAATCGCTTGGCTAAGTACAAATTGCTTATTTATGGTTCTGAATGGATTCCACTCTTTACTGTGATATATTTCATGTTGACATTGATTTAATAGTCCCCGCCCACCATACATTTAGCTTCAGCAGAGAAACAAAGTTGCGTTAAGTACACAAAATCATTGCTAAAAATGCATTTTTATTGGAAAAATGTGCAGAAACAATCACTAAATACAATTCTCAACCATAGTATTCAAACCCAGACACCACAAAATCATTGAGTGCTATGATTTCTGAAGCCACTAGAACAGCAAAATTGGTACAGCAAAATAATGACCTAACGGTGTTTGTCAAGAACCGCAGTCTATTCAGGGCATATAGAATAAAAACTCCATGTTTACAGTTTCAAATGACATTCATAGCACTAGACTAAACAGAGATCTGTGCAGGAGACAGACAAAACAATCAAACGTGCTTAGCCTAAAAATGAGGAGAACATTACTTAAAGGTAAACAGTTGGGATACAGTGAAGCACTTCAGTGTTATATTAGAACATCACCTACTTTTAACACACTAACAAAAGCAGGATAATTTGTTTTTTTCTTAAATAAATTTAGATATAATCAGTATCTTTTACAAGGCTATGGACACAAAAACCCAATGTGTACATGGAAGATTTTGACCAGGTTGTAATACCTAGAGTGTAACTGGTTTCCTTGAAAGAAATACAAGATGACATACAGATTGAAATAGAACTCTTATTTTTTTCAATAGCGAGTTAGATTAAACATTTTCAAATACAGTGACTTCAACTTGACTGCCCATTTGTAGTTTCCAATACCTCTACCAAAATTAGTGTTTTCTCTGCTATGATACTTCTTTCTATAACAAGTGGTTTAAATTACGACTATGGTTTTTTATTAATTTTTGGCTTGTGATAACACTGTCTGCTTATGAAAAATGGAACATAGTTTATAAACCACTTTCTTATACATTTCTCCTTTGGGCCTGCCACAAACCCCCTGTGGAGCATACGGTTCATGAATCCTATATGAGGATAAGCCGCTGAGATATTTACTGCCCTACCCATGGTCCCCAAATCGTTCTTTCTGGCCACTTTCCTTCCTACAAAAGCATTTGAGAAAAAATCACCTGGAAAAAGAGTAAAGGTTAGCATATATTATTACGTTGCTAGGTACAGAAACCACCTTGATGTACCAACAGGCATGAGGACAGCAATCACTGATCAAGTAAGGCATCCATGGGTTAAGATCAGACATGCTAGTTCCTACGGTATTTGCCACCAAGTCAGCTGAAGGATGTTAGCCATGACTTTCACAAACCCTGGAAAGAAAGGAACCAGGAAACCAAATTTAAACCACTCAGACCAAAGATGATTCCTTTGTATTTTTTTCCCCCAAAAGATGACACCCTTTTACATATTTTCATTACTTCGGTACTAATGCTTTTGTTTGTCTATTGGTGATATTCTCTCCATATAGTGAGAAAAACATCTCAATCATACACTGTGGATACAAAGAACTCTGCAGAAAAGCATCTCTGTGCTGCTACTCTGTGAAAAACCGAAGTGTGATTTATGAACAAATTAGATTTGTAGGCCATAAACAAAATGTTTCTAAGTTTTCTACATTTTTATGTCAATAATGAAATGCTTAAAGAATATTTGTATTAGCTTGGTTCTAAGACTGTAAATCTCTACTTGGAAGATGAAAATTATGGACAAGTATTTCCCACGGACCTGGTTACAAACATCTTTTCTATTGTTTTTTTGACTTCTACCTCAAAATCAACATTTTCAGTATAACTTTCTCCATGTTCTGTTATATTTAAGCACACAATTTAGACAACTTTTAACTCTTTATAGTTCTTACTTAACAATGCCATTGTGGTTGGGTCTCTGCCTAAGAATTCTAAGGCAACAGTCTACAATGATTTTATTAGTTTTACTTTATGAAACATGTAACTTCATGGATTTATAAAGCACTGAGACAACACTCATTTCAGATAATAATCCATATTTCTTTTCATGTGTAAGACCTTGGCACTTTCCCCAGAAATAAGATAACTTGGTGGAAGATCAAGAAGAAAATATAACTTATGGTGAATTCTGGGCCTTTTCAGATACAGACAGCATTTTGGCATCCTTAAAAATGACAAAGTTTTCCCTAAAATATTTAGATACACTAGACTTAGTTTAAGGGTTAAAAGCTTGGTAGTTGAGGACGATGACTAAAGTTGAGGATAGACAACTCTTCATCACCCTGGCAAATATCAGCTCTCAGATATTCCTTTTAAAGGGTTATTATGTATCTTAGGAAACCAGATTTGGGTTATTATTTCTTTATAGTTTGAGTTTTAGATTATAACTCCCATATCCCTGATGAATGAGGAATTTTTTTTACTCAAAATTTGGTGTGACGTACAAGGAAAGCATATGTGCCCTTTTTTAAGTGAACAAGAGATGCGGAACAGTGAATGACTTTGTTTCATGGACACAAGACTTTCTACACGATGGCTACCTAAAGGCTGCTCCTACTGCATAATGTTGCTTTTCTTTCTATTTGCTGCACTCATTCTACTGGTGAGAAATCACATGGGTTCATCAAATGTGTTGATTCTCGGTGTACTCAATTTATAGGTTAAAGAAGATGATATTGTGGCTGTTATTATGTTATTTTTAAAATGTAATCATGTCTTTATGATGAAGCTTCTCTCTCTTTTAAAGAGGACAAGAAAGGGCTGATTAAAACTCTCGCCTGGTTCATCTGCATGGACAGGTTGGCAAACAACAATTTATAGTACAAGCATGACAAAACACCCACTGATACATAGAACGGTCCATCTGCTTCAAAAGAACAGATAAAGTGTTTACTTGAGAAAATGCTGGTTTTGAATTTTTTGCAGTGTAATAGCTGATAAGATGGAAATGATAGAAAACTGGAGAGAGTGGTAACTTGCAAGAATTTGAAAATTCATAGGGAGAGACCTACAGGCTCAATTCTCAGCATTTAGCATTTTCTCCGCCAATCCATAACTCGTGACCATTATAAGATCAAGACAAGCATTATGTTTTCTTGACTATTTGTGATACATTTTTTAAAGAGTCTTTTTTTCCCCTTAAAAGGTAACTTTATCCCTAATCACAGCCAAGGGTCTCAAGTAGTGTCCATTCCATTCAAAGTAAGCCAGGTGGTTATAATCTCCAAATTCCATTAAAGCCCCTGTATCCTTTGCTGAAGATACCAGAAGACCTGTAGCTGTGTTAGTGTCTCTGTGGGGGCTTCTTATGATATAACCTTATAGGAAATGAGCTATGTGGTTGGAGACAAATTTGGTCACAGAGGTAGCTGAGGTGCTGAGTTAGAGCAATGTAAACAACAATCTGGTGGTGTAAACACTCCAGAAATGGTTTCTACATCAGAAAGGAGTTTCATGTACATTTTAAATATTTCTCCAAAATACAACATAGTTTACTAAAACATTGGGGGATCATCAGTAACAGGACATATCTTGGCTAAAAACACATGCCGTTGTGGGATGAAGGGGACATGGAATTCTTTAAAGCAGCGTGCATACGTGACCGCACCAGATAAATTAAAAATTGTAAAACGAATTACACATAACTGTTAATGTTTAAATTATGAGAGGAGAATTTCTAATAATGATTACATATAATTTGGAGTCAGATGTCCAAATTTGCAGAAAATTTTTTTAGTTCAAGTATTTATTTATAAGTAGAATAATATTTTAATTGGTTTTCTTGTCAGTTTTCATCCCTGTTAAGATTATTACCCAATAATTGTGATTTTTACAGGTCTAGTTCTATAATTATGGGCACCATCGCCCTCTGCTTCATGCTACAGCTATCAAATAATGATCTTAAAATAAACTCTGAGAAACTCATTAAGAAACTGACAATGACAGAATCTTGGCATAAGTAAATCAATCATATAACTGGAAGGTGAAAAGAAACAAAAATACATTAAAATAGAATACTTTTAGGGTTTTATAAAGGCTAAATGTTCCTAATTGGGAAATGCAGGGGACATCACAATTTGAATCCAAAGAGAAACTGAGATCATGACCACAAAAGTTCACCAAATTTTGCCTCAGCCATGGCTATATTGTTTCTGCTCACTTCCTTCCAGGAGAAAGGTCTTAAATGTCAGGTAATAGCTTTCTATCTTCATGGCACAGGCACTGAGATCATAAAGAGCATCCCAGGGAAAACATCGTGGGAGGGAATACCCACCACAATCGATCTTAGAAGCTGTCGTGATGTGGCAGAAACCAGACAAGCGAGGCAGTCAATGCTGAGAACGTCACTGGGGACAAATCCCATCAACTTTTCCAAATTGTTTTGATTCATGACACATTTCAGGGTCTATCCTAAGCATAAACTATCTAGACATTCCCCTGGATCTGTCTTTTTTTTAAAAATCATGTCAGTACCAGATAGAGGTTGATAAAGAGAGGTTGAATGGGCAACTGGGATTTGAGGGTCTCCAACATTTGTAACTTAAAAAAAAAAAAAAGTATGAATTGAATATGGAAACATTAAGTTTGATTTGAGAAATTTTATGGGAAGACAAACCATCTCATGAAAAAATTACATACTCTAATACAAAACTTGAAGAACATTGCATTTGTTATTGATACAATTGGCTGAAATACTTATATTTTGAAAGGAATGGCTTGTGTTTATCGGAAAGATCAAAAACTAATGTAATGTTAGTTTAGACCCAATGACGAGACGGGCTAATGGAAAATACTTTTGGTATGATTTTTTTTTTTCCCAAAAGAAAAGGCAGCTTTAGGTGAAAAAACATAAAACAATGGACCCAATTTTTGGTGAGATAAGCCTTCATTTCCCCCCCCCCCCAGCTCCCAAATATTGGGCTATATTTGGGACTGAGCTGAGCTACTCTAGGTGTTTTGCCTTAGGCAAAATAAAAACATATTGTAACACAGAATGCGGCATCATCAAGTTTTATGTGACGAGTGACAGGGAAATTCAGAGGGACCATAGAACCGACCGGTGACTCTTCTGAATTTGGTGCCCTCCACAGTGACATACCTGCGTTTCTGCAATTGATTCAAAGCAGAGGGTGGGAGGTGGAGGGGTGGAGGGAAAAAAATGTGCTTTAGGGTTTCCAGTGCTTTTGTAAACCACAGGGAAAGCCACAATTAGTAGCCCCTTTTTGTTCCCCATCACCAGCATATTTTATCTCAAAAAAATTTTAAGGCCAGATAGTTTTCCTTAACTGCATTTTAAAAGAGATATTGAATAAAGTGCAACTGCCGATGTCTCGTGACTAGTTTATCCACACTTGCTAAGAAAAAAAATGAGATATGAAGTTGAACACCAAACTGATTTTTAAAATTTTGCTTGAAATGAAAATCTCTGGAGATTCTCTTTATCCCAACTGATAATGTCAGCTTTTAATTGGCTTGAGTGAAATTTGGCTAAGTCGCCCTTCCAGACATCTGTAACAGATACATTAAGTTTCAGCTGTCCAAATGCCATGCTCTCATCTTCCCCCCGCAGGGCATTTGTCTTGTACATTGTCATTCACAGCCCTGTTCTTGTCTATATGCTATTTATTAAGAATACAAAAATGACTTTGTGGCACCATCTCCTACATTTTAGCAGAAGTGTGACATTCATCAGCTCATAACCTTATCAGTAATTTAATCATTCAAGTACAGCTTATCGGGTGTACACAGTAAGGCCATTCTTAATGAACCACATAGAATTCTTCATTGTATCCATTTTTAGCTAATGTTTTCTTTCCCCGTTGCAAATATAAAGTACGAATCAGATTGATTATATATATGAAGTAAACGCCATCTTTACCAAAAAAATCACCTTTCTATGCTCTCCCTTTAGTACCTAACCTTTTCACCACGTGACAGGTAATTTTTGCTCTAATTTAAAACCCACTGGTATTTCTTCTCTACTGTCTTATATACTCATCTGCTTTATAAGAAAAACAAATTGAGTATCTTGGATGATGAGATCACATTGGGAAATCTTTGATCTTGTTGGGAAGGGCCTTAAGGATAATGGGTCAATTCTTTTGGACACTGTTGACTATTCTGGTTTCTTAAAAATAGTTTTTTCTGGCAGAAAAAGAAAGATTTGCCATGGTGCATGGTAAATAATAATAATTTTGTGGTTTGCCATTGGTTTTGAAAGTTAAGATTTGGGTAGGTTTCTTGATTTTCAGTTCCTGTGTAGAGCCTAGCAGGCACATTTCTTCTCTGGTGGTTTTTCCCCATCGAGCTTTCCAGAATTTCCACCATTGACAGAGTCGGGGACTTGTGTCTTCTCTACACACTGTTCCATTCTCTTCATGATTAAGTCCAAAAGGGTTTCTACAGCTTTCTCCACGTTCTGTCCAGTTGCTGCACTTGTTTCAAAATATGGTATGCTAGCATAGAAAAGATGACAAACATTTTAGAGAGGAGGCAATCAGAACAGATACAGCAAAATGTACAAATGAATCACACATGCAAAAACATGGCTGGCTGAGAGATTATGAAATAAGCCTGTTTTTGCTGGCTAAGTTGGAAAGCATTCTTGTTTTTTCTCAGTGAGTAAAAATTGATGGGCTGCTCTTTACTGTGGTTTTAACTAGTTTTATGGGTAAGGAAACGGATGCAGGAGGTAGTCCAGGAAGATGAAGCCAAGGCATCATCAATGAAAAAAACGAGAGGGGAAAAGAGGTCTGAACTGATGATCAAGTGTTGCCATTAAAACACTGCTTCTCGTCTACTCAGTCTGATTGAGAAATTAGGCATGCTTTGAAGATGTTCACGTGGATACAGTTGATATTTCTTTGGAATTAAAAGCTTCAAGAAGATTCATAAGTTTCAAAGCTCTCAAGAAGAATCTTCAGTAAAAATTTGGCAGATATGATTTTAAAACTACTTTAAATTAAAAAAAACAAGGATAGATTCTGCTCTACAAGTCGATTTACAATTACATGGTTTTTTTCCTTGTAGCTACCACTTAAGCTCAGCTATGATAAAGACTGCATTGTCACGTCCGTGTCAGGGATTGTTCCTTCGACTTTTGCATGCCTTGACTGAGAGGTAGTTGAGCGTACAGTGTTTGAGAGCATGAGCTCTCATTTCAGACTACCCGGATGGAACTTACGCTCTGGCTCCTACTGTGCGGCACGGCCCTCTGTCAGCGACTTAGTCTCTCTGCGGATCAATTCTTCGTATATAAAATGGGTTAACTCTTGTGTCTCAAATACATGGTTGTTATGTGCGGCTTTATGAGTTAAAGTCTGGGGAGAGTTGCTGGCACATTATAATTATTCAGTATGTGTTAGATCCTTCTATTAGTAAGTAGCTCATGAAAACATCAGATATGTTCCTATGGAAGTTCAAGTGCTATCCAGGAGTCAAGGGGGTTTCTTCTAATGTCAGTCTCATGTCTCTGTGCCACCAACTGAGCAGCAGTGCGCAAGGTCGGGTGATACCTCAGTGTAACTGCCCGGACGTCTCAGTGTGACTGACCTACCCGTATTTGTCAGCCAGGTCCCGTGCTTGCCGTTCATTGACTTCCCTCTGGTCTGGTAGGTCTGCCTTGTTGCCAATTAATACGATATCCGGATTTTCACAATAAGCGTTTGCTTGCAGTTGACCTTGGAGAGAAATCGATAGAACCAGCAAGTTAGTGGTCAGCAAGTGAGTGGTCAAGTGACCGCTTGGATTCTAGATTCCGATCTAAGTTGTTCATCTCCAGTCTGGCGGCCTCCTAGCCATGTTAGTCAAGTTCCGTCCTGTTCTCATCACAGTTTCCTCGTCTGTAAGATAGAGATAATGCCCCACAATTGCTGGTGGTGAAGGCGACTAATAATACACAAGGACCATTTGTCAACATCCATCTGGACTCCTCTACCTCTGGGGAAGCGCCCTCTGAGATGGACGTATTGCTTCATCTTCATACTGTCTGTTCCTCAAATGTAAGTGGAGATACAATAGAACATGATTTTAAAGTGAGCAGACCCGCTCCTTCCTTCAGGAGGTTGCTACACTTCCTGCCCAGAATGTCCAAAGTGATGATCAGAGAGTCGAACAGTTTTGAATGTTCATGTGGAAACAGTTTTTGAAGACAGGTAACTTGTTTCTCTTTTCTTCAGTAAACACTGTGTGTGTGTGAGTGTGAGAGAGAGAGAGAGAGAGAGAGAGAGTGTGTGCGTGCGTGTGTGTGTGTGGGGGGGGGGAGAAAGGAAGGAAGAAAGAAGAGATAAGAAACCTGTCAGCCTGTGTTTTTGAGGTTACAGCGGCTACTTAAGATATCTTAAGCATATCTTAAGACATGCTGTGTGCTATCTTGCCGAGACCAGAGGAAGAAGACAAAGACTTAATCTGTAACACCAATTATTTGGGTGTTAGAAATTAAAGTGGTATTAGACACGGCAATTAACTATCTTAAATCCCAACAATATCCTTCTGGAGACTTTTTAAAGCAAGGAAGAGTCTCGTCTGCCTTGAAAAAGGATAAACATTCGGTGAAAGAATCTAATAAGCTTATTATCGCTTTGTCTCCTCAGAATCTAATAATACCACCAAAATTTGGATAAGAAAAGACAATATTAAAACAAAATAAGGACAGATCCTAGGATAAACACTCATTTGGAGAAGCAATTAAGAAAGTCAGAATTTGTTTCCCCATTGGTTGCAATGGTGTTATCGAACTTATACTGAGAGTGGTTATATATATTAATTGCCAATTATATATACGATATTATACATTTTTTATGTGTAGTAATAAGAAGTATATATACTTTGAGCATCTACTCTTTGCCAGGCACGCATCCAGGCATTGGCAACAGAACAAAAGAGACCAAGTCTGTACATTCATAGAGCTTATGTTCTAGTGGTAGAAAGAGTCAAAAAAAAAGTAAGTAAAAATATACATAATATGATGTCAGGTGACGTGTGACCAAATGAAATATGAAGTGTGTTGAGGGACTTCAGAGTGAGGCAGAGTACTATTTTAGACAAGATGGTCAATCAGGAAAGGCCTCGCCCAAGAGAAGACGAAGGTTTGAGCAGAAGTTTGAAGGGGATGGAAGAAGTAGCAAATGGCCGTCCATGGGAGAAGAGAAAATAACACAGAGGGAATCAAAGGGCAAAGGCCCCAAGGAGGTGATGTGCTTTCCATTTGGCAAGAGCATAATTCAGCTGGAGGCTAGTGGGGGTGGGGGTGGAGGTGGAGTAATAGGGAGTGAGGGAGGAAGCCCACAGCCTGAACACAATGACCTCACAGGTGGGTGAAGGACTCTGGATTTTATTCCAGGTGAGATGGAAGTTCCAGAAAGACTCTGAGAAGGGGAATAACCATGATCCAGCTCTTAGAAAATATCATGCTGGCTACAGACAGCCCCGACAAATCTGGAAATACGAGCAGCTGCAGACCCAAAGGAAGAGTCATCTGTTCCACCACTTGTATATCCTGTGAAGATCAGAATTCTTATTTGTAATTAAAACTACAAATGAAATATTCTCTTTAGGGCTACATCAATTAATAACATATGGGAAAATTCTAACACTTCTCTCCTGTGTTGGCATGTATTAATTTGACTTTAATAATTAAGTAGGCGACATTTAAATTTTGTATTTTAATCTGAGTTTCCATGGAGGCTGGAGATTTTTCTGTACACAGTTTCACATTTGAACTTTTTTTTTTTTTTTTAAGTAAAACTCCAGCGTGAGCTAACTGGAACACTGTGCCTCGCCTAGTCATAACATGGCTGGTCTGCTCTGGAGTGGCTTCTCACCTAATTGATCCATTAGTCCTTGACTACATCTTAGATGTCAGTGTCCCTTCTCAGAAAACACTGTGCCCTCCCCAGGTGAGAGAAACCGATGTGATAGCTCACTTAGTTTTAGGAAGTCTTTCAGGACTCACTGGACAAGTGAAATGAATGAACTTTCAGTGACCGACCAAAAGGCTTAAATAGAGGTGGTAACGAAGCCACATAGGCTTCCTCTACGAGCCTTCAAGGAAGATGTAATTGCAAGTCACATAAAAGCCACCCCTTTGAAGACGACACAGGAAATACTAAACTCGTGACTGTCCAACGTTAACCTGTGGCACCCCATCTGCTTTCATCTTTCGAGGGCTCCGAGCAAAGAGAGCAGTTGGGTCCCAAAGGGGCCAGGGCACATTACTCAGTCTCACTTACTCATCCAGTTTCTGACATTTAAGAAGCTCTGTTGACTGGTGAGGTCAAACATGAGCAGGAAGCCCATGGCGTCTCTGAAAAATGCAGTCGTGAGGCTCCGGAAGCTGCCGAGAAAGCACAGAGATAGTTCTGAAAGTTAGTCCACATACCCGTGAGTACAGTACAAACAATACGGCTATGGTATGAGGCTTCCATGGCTGGCCCTTGTGTCTTCTACAGAAATGCAGACACGGGCAGAAAGGGTGCTGAAGGGCCAGGGGAGGAGTTTCAGTTGTCGAGTTTATTTATTTTAGAAAGTAGGACTTATTAAGTAGACAGAAAAGCTCCCACAGTGGGAGGGGACCTGGAAGAGGTTGCCTGGTTGTCCAAGCTTTTTAAGACCACTTCCTGGCTTTCGGATACCATAGCACTTACACACACAGTTGGTAACGTTCACTCATACACAGCTTCTTGGGATCTTTTTCTTTCTGGGTCATGGGCATCTGGTGGCCCACAATTAAAATGTAAGCCACATTAGAGTGGGGACTTTCACTTTCACTTTTCAGTCTTTCTTGTGTGTACCCAGAAGAAGGCTTGGCAAACAGTAGCCTGGAAATGAATGCCTGTGATAATTTAAAGAAAACCACAACTTGTTATCTGCTGGAACGAGAATTCTTTTGCAGGGGACAACACTGATGACAAAGCTCTTATATAAAGTACTCTTTGGGGTAAAAGTGAGCTTATTCTGGCATCCACGTCTCATGAGGAAAAGCAAGATGACTGCGGGTACTCAGGGAAGGTCAAGACAGAAGAGAGGCACACTCATCGGGAATGAAAGTGAGAACACTCATTTCTAACGGAGGATTTTGTCATGCACAATGCAAAGGATTTTCCTCCTCTCACACGATGCACAACCAAACATTGTCAGTGAAGTCGAAGACGTGCTGAGATCCACTTCAACGTAAGCAACGGGCTACACTGGAGACCACACACAGGAACCGGAGGAGGTTTTGAATTTGGCAGTGGGTTTTTCTAAAGGCACATAACTTTGAACCAGAGCTTATCATGTCCTACCTAAATGCTCTTCTATCTGTTGGTCTCCTACCTGAGTCTACTTGTAGATTATTTGTGCTGGTTTCCTCAGGGTTCTATTCTTGACCTCTCTCATTCTGTACATGAGGGGGACCTCAAAAAACCCAGAATTTATTTATTAAAAATTATGTATTTATTCTTACATGGATAAATTCCAGTCACCCTCAAAGTACTCTTTGTGAGGCAAGACGCCTTGTGAGACGGTTTTTCCACTGCTCAAAACAGTTTTTGAATTTGTCAATTTTGATGCCTTTTTGTGTTTCTGTTGTTTTTGTTTCGCCCCTTCCACATGGGCAAAACGTTTCCCTTTGAGGACTTTTTTCATCTGGGAAAACCACAGCAAAAAAGTGAGGCTCCAACTCAAAGCAAAAAAAAGTGGCTTCAGGGCAAGATCGGGTGAATAGGGAGGGTGGTGCACAGCGCGGTCATGCTGTTTTTGGGTCAAAAACTGCAGATCACTCAGCGTGGTGTGGGCAGGTTCGCTGGTAAATCGCCCATCAGGAAACAGGCAAATGCGCTGAAACGATCTCCAAACAACAACAAAATTTACTGAAGCCTAACACAGCCTCTCACAACCACATGAGCTGGGATGCTGATGGGCTCCTAGAACACTTACCTAGCAGGAGAATCCTGTACTACAAGAGGCTCACCCTCCAAAAAATCATTCTGTTTTTTGGGGGATCACCTTCATACATTCACTGGATCATCTCATCCACTTCCCTGGCTGAATTGTAGCCAAAACTTATACATTAACATCCATAAGTTACTCTTGCATACAGGGTACCTGTATACGGGGTACCTAATTACTTGTTGGAAACTCAGATACCTCCAACTTCATACATCCCAGACCAAACCGGCCCCTCCTCCTTATTTCTTTTTCTGTTAGGAAAAGGAATTACCGTCCTCCTAGATGCCATAACCTCTTCCTTTTTCACCCGTCTACAGTCAACACATCTCTCTTGGCCTGCTGATTTCTGTCCATCTACCTGCCACCACTCTGATATGGACCCATTGTCTCGCATCGAGACAACTCCAGTACCCTTCTCACCAGGCTTCCAGTGTCCAATTTTGTTTGGGACACCACTCATCCATCTCTTCCCATTGGTGATATCAATCCTCTACTAAAAACATCTTAGTGATTATGCATCACTCTCAAGCTAATGCCCAAACTCCTTAATAAGCTGTCAAGTCTCCACAAGAACTGATCTCTGCGCATCCATGCAGCTTCATCTCCTGACTAGCCACAGGCATGCTGCTATGCTTTTAGTTCTCAGAAAGTTCACTCTGCTCCCCTGGGCTTCCACACACGCTGGTCTTTCTGTGGGTAACCTCACCTTGGTGCTTCCTTCTCCTACCCTTTCCTTTAGCCTGGATAATACTCATCCATTGTGCATGAATATATCATATTGGTATCTGAGAAAATACCACCTCTGCGAGGAGCCTTCCCATCACTGCAGGTGGGTTATGGGCACCTCCTGGTGGGCCTGCCAATTGCCTTTTGCTCTCCTGTTGCTATCTTAGGGCTATATTGCAATTCTTTATCCAGTTTCCACCCGTGACTGTAAGCCCCAAGGGGAAGGAGCTGTGTTTCTAACTTGCTATCCATTATATTTTCAGGGTCCAGAACAGGCTGATTTGTTCATGGAATATCTGTGAAATTAAAGACAGCAACGGAAAATAGAAACAAAACGATAAAAGATTTTTAAAGATTTGAAACGACTTCAGTAGAGAATGACGCTTTTCATGCCCAAGATGAGAGAAGAGTTATTTTCACTACTACTCGTTTCCAAAATAAGATTTCTTTTTTCTTTTTCTTCTTTTTAAGATTTAAAACAAAGTTTATTAGAGAGAAGAAGAGAGGAAAGAGAGTAGGTGAAAGTTTCGAACCAGAAAGGCCTGACATGGGCAAGTCTCTCTGGCTTTTGCTCTTAACTATGAAACTAGATACATTTTCACAACAATTGATACACTAAAGAGGGTGGGTCCTAGGTAACATCTCTCCACTCTGATGGGTGCAGGGGTGGTCTTATTATCATTTCTACGTTTTTTGATTCCTGATCAGAACTATCTTGATGGAGTTTTCCTAGGAAACCAGCCTACCTGTAATGCCTTCTTTAAAAATAAAACATGGCTGTTTTATAAAATATAACAAGTAAAATATTTTCCTCTGAGATTTATTTACTCAGTGTCTTCTGTGCTATAATCTCACTACAGCCAAAGTAAAGCCAGAGAAATTCAAGTTTATCACTTAAATTATACTAGTAACCACAAGCCTGCCTTGTAGCCCTTATACAAAAGGTAATCAGCCACCACTAAGTTGACAATATGTACACCTAGCTTCACTTAATTTCTCTACTTGCTGCACAAGGAGAGGGTTTAAGTTATCCCTTTTGGGGGCCCATTGTAATGGTTATAATTCTACTAATTTGGGGTCCAGGTCTCTTTAACTGCCTAGTAGGATTTCGTTTTTAGGGTATTATGGTGGTCTAAAAACATAGAGTAGACACACCAAAAAATTTACTAACTTTTTTCATGTGGATTGACACCTACCATTCCCTAGAAGTGCACAGAGATTATAGTGTCTTTACTGAACGATTCTCTCTCTTTGGAGATTAGCTGTGTCCACAAAATTGTCTCTACCCAGCCAGCCATGATAGTGTCATGGCTAGGAAAAGTGCTCTTTGTTCTCTCCCTAAATGTGTGTGTGTATGTGTGTGTGCATCTCATGTGAAGACAAGACGGTGTTCTATTCCCTCTAATTGCCCACAGCATATGACAGCATCACTCAAAAGCATGCTTGTTGTCGTGATCTACTTGGGACAGACACTTTTTCGTACATAGCAACATGGATAGGACAGGCTGAAGCAGTCTCATCCCCTGGACCATTCTGGCCAGTATTCGCCATTCCCACCCCTCCTGGGAGACAAGTAATTCATTTCTAGCTTCCCCCACCTGTCTCCTTCTGTCCAGTGAGTCAGCCAGGTGGAAGAAATCAGGACCACAAAAGAAACAGATCCCCGAGTCACATGATCACTATTTCTCCCTCACTGGGAACTAAGGCTGTGCCCTGTGTCCTTTGGGTTTACTGAAGAGCTAGGTATTTTTTTTATCCTTCTTCCCAAGATGTGACTTTATCACAATCATATCTTTCAGGGGTTGAACTGCCAGATGTCCTCAGGCACAGGGCTGGGTGTGAGGCATTGTTTATCGTGTTGCTTAGCTACGCCTCCTCTATACAGAATGCAAAATTCCCAAGGAACGAATAACCCAAGTGTTACCAAGACTGCCCCAGTATTCCCCATTTTCCTCATCAAGCTGCTGCCTTTAAGGGGACGGGCGAGAGAAGGCTGCCATCGTGCTCGGCTGACATACCGTGTGCGAGGACATATGGGAACCATGTTTTCTCATGTTCTTCAAAAATGAATTAAATTGCTCTATAAAACATACATCTTTGTGACAACAAAACTGACATATGAACAGAGATTCTCGTGAGGAATGACTTCAGAGGAACCAGCAGTGTTGAAGGGTGTGTGTAAATGGAATTCACAGTCAAAAAAGCTAACAGAGAGGGCCCAGCACCTCTCCTGGCGTTTACACTCACTGAAGGCGAGAACATCTTGGACGCATTTCAAAAACGGAAGTGTTTACAAGCATAAGCATTCTAAGACATACGCGGCAAAATTTAGAGGTATGTGCCTTCTAAATATCTTCTCTGCCAATCTATTGCTACTTTTAATTTAATCTATTATTGAAAAGCTTCACTAGCTTGAGAACTTTCATGCTTTGAAAACTCAGATTCCAAAGAAATAGACTTTCCTGCAATAACAGGGTAGTACCTCTACCTCTAAGCAATGAACATTTAAGTGTCTACTTAGTGCTCTCTTGGATATTGCACCAGAGACGATACAAGGACTCCACCTTTATAAAGATGACAATTTGGGTGGGGGTGAGAAGGACCCAAGTGAATCAACGAACAGCAGTTAAAGATGAAAATGGAAGATTCATCCTCTTACAAGGTGGTAGCTAATTCATTTAGTAACTGCAGGGTGGGTATGACAGGTAGCCACAGGAGTTCAGAAGAAAGAGGGATTTCGTTTTGTAGAGGAGGGGGCGGAAGAGATGAGCTTGGTGGGAGAAAGGGATCAGGGAAAGTGGGCGGGGGGCAACGATTCTAGCTGGAGGGCGACAGCTTGCTCAGAGTCTGAGAGGACAAAGCCAGTCACAGTCTGTGTGGAATAACAGAAGGAGATAAGGTCCTAACACCCTCTCCTCAACATTTCCTTTGAGTTGCACTTAGTGTTAATTTCTCATCTTCAGTCCATTCAATTCTAGAGACTTTTTTTCCCACCAGAAAGCGCAAAGACAATGCACAGCAAGAATCTTCATATTTTTGAAAATCGGAGTTTTAAAATCTGTACCAACAACACAATGCAAGGATGACTAATTAACGACAAGTCATGTATTTTTATTTCTCAATACAAATGTCGATTTTGAAACCAGGAGCAGTGTCGCATATTTTTGTTTTCAAGTTCATACATAGTACTTATTTAAAACTAAGTTTTCTAAGCTGTATATAGCTAGAAACAAAGTAATTCATCATTACCGCTCTTGTCCTGCAGTGTCCCAAAGCTGAAGATGCACCTTAAATGCTTTCCCTGAAGATCCATTTGGTCCTTGTGTATTATAAACCTGAAAGATACAAAGTTCATTAGTTGGTATTGCTTTGGATTTTGTCAACATTCAAATTATCCGGGTTCCCTCGGCATGTTTTTTCTCGATTACTATAATCAAAGTTCATAGTGCAGAATAAATATTTGCTCTACTTTTTTCCAGAAGTAGCACATGTACTCTCACTTTTAAATGTCAAGCAAGATTTTCAACACAATTTAGGCATATTGCAAACTTAAATTAGACACCTTCTGTCATTTCTTCACGAGGCAGCAAACATCAGATTTAGGACTCAAGTTCTAGGTTCAAATACCAACTCTTCATTTAACCTCTGAGTCTTATTTTCTGATCTTCAAATTGACACCCACAATTCCTTCCTACTTTACAGAGCTACTGCAAACTTATATGAAAGCATTTTTTTAAACAGCAAAGTATTTTGTAAATACCTGAAAATCTTTTACTGTGGACTATCAAAATCATTTTGCCATGAAATATGCACAGAATTTCTCAAAAAGTGGACACATGACATTTCAAGCCTTCCTTCACTAGTCATTTATCAAAAGCCTATTTCTAAGCCAAAAAAAATTCTAGACTTTTTACGTTTTAGAAAAGCATAACAATTTTAATATTTGATCAGCTCCCTTAAGTATACTTTAGTGAAAATTTCTCAAAGTGAAAATTTTGCAAGGACTCACACTCAAATTGGTGGGGACACCGGGGGAAAGACAGGAAAACCCCCCAAAAGGGTTGAGAGTAGATTTTCTAGGATGACATTACAATGCATTGACTTTCAGACGAGATACTACAGTGCTTTGTAAGGAACCATGATCCAACTTCGTAGGCAATGGCTTCCAACCACCATTTCTTTTGTTTTCTTTCCCAATTCCCAAGAAACAAGTAGATTTGTGACATCAACTGGAAGCCACAGCCATCTTGGCAATCAAGATTACCTTGGGTGGCAGCAAATCTGGCTAAGCTTATGTGCCTATGCTACACGTCTCACATGTCACAATATCCTTATTGCTGTCATTAGCGTCTAGCATAGAGAAGGAAGTGGTTGTGATTCTCACTTAAACTCCCTTATCTTGGAAAATAGCATGGGTTGGTCTCACATTCTGTTCATTATAAGCCGGTGATTGATGGCTGAGTCTACACATAAATAAAAAAAAGCAGCAAGAACTTACAAAGCTCATATACTAACTATTTGCCAATCATACTTTTAACCTCTTAAGTGTAGGGAAATCAACACTTGTTCTTACTGAGAAATTTAACTCAGATCAGAGTTAATGCTTTTAGATCCTAATAATTCAAATTACAAGAGATTCCTTAAGTCTTTATAGAAAACACACAATACAAATCCATAAATGATTTGTTTTAATTGCCTTGTATACTTGGGAAGATAAGAGAGAGTATCATGCAATATTTTTCTAGCAAAATGTTACTTGTAGTTAAAAAGTAGAAAATAATATTCTAAAGTAAAGTGACAGGTTATAAAACTCATGTGATAAAATACAGACATTTTGCAACGCAATAAACATAGCTTCTTAATTCTTATTTTATATGGGGGGGGAGGTCAGTGACAAGGTCAAGAGTATGTTAAAAAAACTCACCACACGTTTTTCCCGAAAGTCTATTCCCACTGTGGTGATAAATTTGGGATTGAATTTGTTGTCCGTGTATCTGTAAAGAAATGTCGTCTTCCCTACCCCTGAATCTCCGAGGGCCAGGAGTTTGATCAGATAATCATAGTCTCCATCGGTCATAGTGATGGTCTTGGTGGGCCTATGTAGGAGACAAATGACAACAAGTATATTACAATTAAAGTTGATTCGCCTTTGCCTTATACCAAAATGCAACAGACATTTAACTTTCGAGGTTAAAAAAACAAAAAACAAATGCCTCTATCCTGTCAAATCCTAAATTAACTTGATTGACGCAGCTTTGGGGGCAAGGGCACATCTATCATTTTACTCAGTACAAATCATTTTACATCATATTACTTGTTACGGAGAAATATGCAAAATAGCAATTGCCATAGCAATAGTAGAACTTAAAGTTAAAAGCCATTGAGTTGTTCTAAAATCAATGAAGATGATGGTAGGAAGACAAGAGAGTGACAGGGACCATAAAACCCAGTCCAAAATGATGCAACATGCCAGAGAGAGTCTACAATTGCATATGGACAATGGAAGGAAAATGCCAAGGGGTATATCTTATATCTAACCATGCAGGATGAGCTTTCAATTAGGTGCACACAAATTATTCCCTTCTAATTGAAAAAAAATAAGTAACAACTGGTATGATAACCTTCAAAAACCTGTGATGATAACACCAAGCATAAGGTCATGCATTTGAATGACACCACCACTTACTTGATGAAGTTTCTACTCTTCAGTTTAGCAAAGGGATTGACTCTGTCTCTCTATGTATGTATGTGTATATACTTTGTATTTGGTTCAACTCTTGTTTATATTTTATGCGATTTCCTGATTCCTAAAATCATATAACTTCCATATTCTATCTTTGGCATGGCAAATACAGCAGCATAAAAAATAATAAGAGCCTTGGCAATCTTTCCTTTTCTAAGAAATGGGCTAAAAAAAAAAAAAGATCGGAAAAGGATAAAAAAGCTGACAAATCTAACAGTAATGTTTATTCCTGCACAATGATTGATGGTCTTACCGGTTCTTGGTTCTATAGCTCTAAAAGGGAAGAAAAAGTCAGAAGATTACAGTGTTCAGTAAATATATCTGACTGTCAGCCCTTATCGTGGTGTCACAAGCCATATCACAAGAACCAGCAGGACTTTCAGATACAGAAGAATCCTTTGTGGGAAGGCAAGGGGCTGGGAAGAGTAAAAAAAAAAAAACAATTGAAATGCATCACGTCCTTGAGTCTCTAGTTAGTGAAAAGTGTTAAAGGAAGAAGGAAACCCAAGCCATCAGGTGGTCCAACCCCTCAGTTTTCAGATGAAAAGTCACAAGAAGAGAAGTTGAGTGACTTGTGGGAGTGACAGCTAGTTTCTAATAAAGGAATATCCAAGATGTGCTTATTATAATTTGAAATAAAAACTGCATTAGATAGGAGCAGGGTAGCAATAGAATATTTTCATTCTATAGGGAAAGAACACTTTTTGTTGAATACTGACAGAGACATAACTTTCTTTTTTTTTTTTTTTTTTTGAGTCAGAGTCTCACGCCATCACCCAGGCTGGAGTGCACTGGCATGCTCATGGCCACCCCGACCTTCTGGGCTCTGGCAATCCTTCCACCTCAGCTTTCCGAGGAGCTGGAACTACAGGCATGCACTACCATGCCCTGCTAATTTTTGATTATTGTAGAGATGAAGTCTTGCCAAGTTTCCTGGTCTGGTCTTGAACCTGTGGGCTCAGGCAATCCACTTGCCTCAGCCTCCCAAAGTGCTGGGATGACAGGCCGAGCCACTGAGCCCGGCTGAGACATAACTTTCATTAGTAGAATATCTCAGTGAGGTTGTCTATGAATTCTCTCTTCCATCCCACCCCTCAGTTCCCCGTATTCTCGTTCAACATAAATTCCACTAGCACAAGGACTTAATCTCCTTTGTCTACTGCTGGATCTTCAGAGCCCAGCAAGGTGGCTGACATACATATTTGTTGAGTGTATAAATATATTTAAGCTCCTCAGAGCCATGCAAAATGTCATGATTAATGAAACGCATCCCATGGGCCATTGGTGGAAGTGGTATCCATCCAAACACAGAACTTAGATTCTTCCTCATCAGTGAGGTGAGCGTATAGAATTAAATGATCACTCTGGTGCTTTCCAGGTCTGGCTTCCTGAGCTCACTTTGCTATTTGAAGCTGCACAAGAGAGCAAAACCTTCTCAATATAGAATATTTATATCTTCAGAGGAACAGTTTCAAATAACATGGGAAAAGGCAAAGCACCGAGGTTGTATACTTGTTGAAAGTGAGATGTGTGCAGGCAGAGAGCATATAAAACTGTCAGTTGAACAGTCGAGGTTCAGAGAACGGGGTCCCTCCATGAAAGCTACTATTTGTCCATCTAACACACCCTTATTGGCACCTCCTATTTGCCTGGTATTTTGCTTGGCTCCGAAGCAAACAAGTGCTTCGGTTATGCATCAGCGACTATTACACAGATGGAATTACCCAGGCAGATTTGCTGTTCTTTGCTAGTTCACAATCTCAAGAACCCCATGACAAGTCACAACTTTGTGACTTTAACTTGTTAAATTCATCAAAATCAACTTAACGTTATAAAGGCACTTTGGAAAGCTTAAAAGAGTAGGCGAACAAGGACTCCAAGTGAATGCTTAATGTTTCCTCTGTTATCTTTACTTGATTGGCTTATGTTGGGCTCTAGTAGGTACGTTTTCAGGTCTGGGAGTCTCGGAGCAAGCACTTCTTTGTCTGGATGATAGCCTGAGGGTGTTTCCCACGAACTGACCTTGAAATATTGCTTCCCATAACCAACCACATTTATGTCCTGAAGATTAGAATTAAATTATAATTGGCTGAAATATTCTAGGGACCCTAGCATATCAGTAGAACCAAAGGCATGCTTCTGGAGGAAGGGCAAGTTTCAGAAAACAAATTAATCACATGAGCACAAGGAAGGGGTCAGCAGTCACTGGGCACTGCCAGAGGAGGGAGAGAAGGGTGGTGGGCATATAACAACACAAAAGGGTACCTGGTCCTTTACCAGGGGAAGTGAGGGCCAGTTGGAGGTCCAAACTTCACCTGCATGCAGCCTACGTGTATAGTTAATCCTTCCTTGTTCCCTACATCTCTATAATAAAATAACAATTTTTTCTTTGGTGTATTCTATAGCATTTTGTTGTTAGGATGGTTTATTGCACTTAATTTTTATTTCAATTCCTCTTGAATACTATTTAGAATGAATGGATGAGGGCCTATATGGAAGGTTCAGATCAAATTGCAAATATAACCAACATTAGTTTAAAAAAATGGTTTTTACTTAAGCTGACAGTGGTCCATGTGTCCACTGGAACAATCAAATCTATTTTTTTAAAAAGGTGTCTATTTTGTCCTGATCTAGGCTCTAATATAATAGAAATTAAACCAATGATTTATAAAGTTCTGAAGTTCAGTTTGCCTAGGCTGGAAGTAAAGGGTAGATATTCGAACACAGGTTAGTTTTAAATCTATTTATCTTCATTGACATGCTACCATTATTCTTACATATTAAATTCATACCTAAGCTGATGAATATTTTTTTCTCCAAATGATTTTTTCTCCTAAGTAACATTGTTTTCCTTTGGCTTAATTAAGTGGTATCTTTTGAAACTATATTAATTTTTTTTTTACTTTTTATTTTGAAAAATTTCAAACTAAATTTGAGGGAATAGTATAACGTACCCTCATATACTTATCACACAGCTTCTATTAGAACCTCTTTTTTTTTCTGAGTCAGAGTCTCACTCCATTGCCCAGGCCGGAGTGCAGTGGCACACTCACGGCCACTCCAGCATGAACCCGCTGGGCTCTGGCGATCCTTCCACCTCAGCCTCCCAAGTAGCTGGAACTACAGGTACGCGCTCCCACACCTGGCTAATTTTTTGATTTATTGTGGAGACGAGGTCTCACCAAGTTGCCCAGGCTGGTCTCGAACCCCTGGGCTCAGGCAATCCTCTTGCCTTGGCCTCCCAAAGTGCTGGGATTACAGGCTTGAATCCCCGTGCCCGACCTTCACACAGCTCCTAAATGACCAATATATAGCCAATCTTCTGTCATCCACCCGACCCCTCTCCTGCTACCAGATTATTTTGAAGCAAGTATTGGGCGTCACAATATTTTTTTCATAAATAATCCAATCATATTTGTAAAATAAGATCTCTCAACCTTAGCGCTACTGACGTTGTGCATACTTATAGAGAAGTTTATTAAACACTTGGCTTTTTTTTGTTTTGCTTGTTTGAGTTGGAGTCTCACTCTGTCACCCAGGTTGGAGTGCAGTGGCACATTCACGGCCACCGCAGTGTCGACCTGCTGGGCTTCAGCGATCCTTCCGCCTCAGCCTTCCAAGGAGCCAGAACTACAGGTGCATGCTACCACACCTGGCAAAATTATTTTTATTTTTATTTATTCATTGTAGAGACGAGGTCTCACCAAGTTGCCTGGGCTGGTCTCGAACCCACAGGCTCAGGCAATCCATTCACCTTGCCTTTCCAAAGTGCTGGGATTACACGCTGAACTACTGAACCCGGCAACATTTGGCTTTTTAAAAATTTGATAGGTCAGAAAACATATGCTAATACCATTTATCTTGTATTTCACTTACAGTGATCAAGGTCATGTATCTTTTTATAGGGCTAAGGGTTATTTTACTTCTTTTTCTGTGAATGGAGGGGTCATATCTCTTGCTCATTAAAAAAAATGGTTTATCTGTTCTACTTTTAGAAGTTCTTTGTATATTCGGGATATTTAAACTTTATTATTTAAGATGAAAATAATTTTTCCCTTTGTCTCTTTACTTTGCTTGTGGTGTTCATGCCACACAAAAGACTATTATTGTTGTTGGCGATGTTGTTTTTGGGAGATGAGGGATCCAATTCTGACTCCCAGTCAAGAAGGTTTTCCCACCCCAGGCGGTGGAGGAATTGTGGTGTCATCCTGGTACTTACATGTTTTCAATTTGACATTTAAATCTCTGGCTCCTCTGGAATTTACCATAATGCATGTTATGAAGAATTGATCCAAACCCAAGTTTTTTTCTTCTGTCATAATACATAAAATCCATCTTTTCATCATTGATTTG